TTAATGTGACCAATAAGAGTACATGTATTATCTGTATTATTTATAAATGCGACTCTCTGCCAATCAAATCATTTCTATCAGAGCATGCGTATTATTGACTTTATAAATTAAGCTGCCTATCAATATGTTCCAAACATGTGCGCATGTACTATTCTCAAAGGCAGCGCTTTTATAAACTAGTCTGTTCTCACCTCTCCGGACGCCAGAACGTTATTCATGTACTCTAAGAAACCCTCATCTTTGATTTCATTATCAGTGAATATAAAAGTGATCCCTTGTCCCTGGTGCCCAGCTGTCCTGTACAGGACCTTTAGATCATCCATCAGGTTACTGGTGTTGTAAGACCTAAAAATACACGATAAACACTCAGATCATCACCACAACGTGCTCTTAATCGTAGAGTAAAACATATGTTCTCTAGCTGTAGAAGCTCTGAATCATGATGCGATAAGGTGCGCAAATCCTCCCGCAGCTGATTTACTTTGAGTTCACGTGTTTAAAATCAAAAATGTTGCGGTGAAAACGTGGCCTTACACGCGCGCCGTGCCGTGTCGGTTCTGCAACAGTCTCGTGCCTCAGTGTCATGATTGTATAGAGCTGATTTCGTATGACTGAGACGTGACAAACTCGAGGTACAGTACTTGTGTGACTGTGGCTGTGACGGTACTATGCAGTGTGACTGTGTCACGCGCCGTACCGTGCCGTGCCGGTTCTGCAATAGTCCCTTGACTCAGTGTCATGATTGTATAGAGCTGATTTCGTATGACTGAGACGTGACAAACTCAAGGTACAGTACTTGTGTGACTGTGGCTGTGACGGTACTATGCAGTGTGACTGTGTCACGCGTCGTACCGTGCCGTGCCGGTTCTGCGATAGTCCCTTGACTCAGTGTCATGATTGTATGATTTCGTATGACTGTGACGTCAAACTCGAGGTATAGACGTTAAGTGACCGTGACTGTACCGCGCTATGATTTTAACAAGAGATGCGTTGTCAGTTTCTTAAAGATTAACTATTAACAGTTTAACGAGTTTTTAAGGTGAAATATATATCGTACCTGGTAAGAGTAATCTGGAATATTTTATAACCAGCAATAAAAGAAGCAAGGCGAGTGAGACTTTGTTTTCCAGATCCACCAACACCGACCAGGAGAGCGTTACCACGARGTGTRCGGATGATACGAGACACTTTGATCARATGAGTCATGGCGTCCTACAACACGTATATCAATATTAGTGTCTCTTATCATGTAAGGTTACCATCAATAGACGTCACTTCAGGTAATTATCTGTGTTTTGATCGACTTGATGTCAAATTAAGTAAACAATTCAAGATGGCGGATGGCAGCACGTGATATTCCAACTAGCTTCTTATTGGATAGCATAAGCACCTTCCAAATATGGGCAATTTCTTGTTCAACGATCACGTGATCAAATTTGAATATCTTTTAAGATGGCGAATACGTGATCTTTAAGGTAGTTTCTTATTGGTTGGTATAGAATGATGAAGCAACATTTAAAAAAAGCCATTTTTTCATACCTTAAAGAAGACGAGGTCCATCCGGGCACCACGAATCGCCTCGTTATACATTTCTACAAAGCTTATCAGTCTTTCGTTCAAGCCTTCAAAACTCGGAATGGGTTCGTAAATCTTCGGAGCTTCTAGCTCGGTATCCTCGGGTTCGTCACCTGTTCAGTAAGAAAGAGCGAGGTTACAAAGGTTACGTGCTTTGATTCAACATTACCCATGATGCTTTACWTTTTTTTTACTTCGACCCTCCCCTCCCTTCTTCCTAAAGCAAGGTATCATGGGCCATTCAGGGTTTATAGATAGAATATGGGGTATATGCATGCAACAAGATGAATAAGTAAGATTTTGCATGCAGTAAGATACATGATAAGAATTTACCGCGAGCACCACCAGTTWTGTTTTGTTTCTTTGRCGCTGKTATTTGTTTTTGTTGYTGTTGTTGTTGATCTTTAGAATTAGGTGGTTTTTCTTGAGAATCGAGGAAGACTGAGCAGAGAGATGAAAGAGAAAAGAAAGAAAACAAGAAAAGAAAGCAGAACAAGTTAAGAACAAGGAGTTAGTTATGAAATAGAAACGATTCAATAGTTAAAAGTAGATAAGATAAGAGAAGTATCCAAGGTAACAGCCGTGCCATTTATGATCTTCATCCCACACCTCCATCCATCCATCCATCCATCCATCCA